CCAGGGCATGCTATCGGTGTGGAAATGACAACCAGAGGGGGTCTTACCTGACTGCGAATCAGAAGAGGACAGGATTCGTAAGCGCAGGCTCATTCAGAGGTGGGAAGAGCATCAGTGCTGAGACGTCGTGCAATCATTGACTGATGGAAGATTTACTCATGGCTTTTTCTGCAAAGAACACCGGAAGAGACATCCGAAGCCAGAGGCAAGTTGCATGCACAGAAGTGGGGAACAGCAACGACAATAGACAAGGTAGGCGCCTACGACGGCATCAGGAATTGATGAACAAAACAGCAGCTTACGCTCGGACCCTTATGAACGGTAGGAGCACACCTGCTGTACGGAAGCCTTACCTGAAAAAGTTACACCTTCTCAACACATCTGCGTGGGAGTCGGGTGCATGACGCAGTGCGCAGGAGATGTCAATCGGCGCCGAGTGTGCATTTCCCAATAGTTCCGACGAAGAATGTGCTCTTGAATATCTACAAGTACAGGCGCTTTTGAAAAAAAATCTTCTAAATCCCAACACTTGTGTTGCTTTTACGAGAGGTGGCATATGAGAAAGATATGGCTGATCGAGCAAGAAAACTACTGAATGACACTAAATTGCAACGAGACGAAAAATGGTAGGTAGAACTGGCCGTTCGAAACGAGATTACTGATTGGGAGGTTTAGGGTTTGGATCCTTGATGCGTTTGTTCTTTCACATTTTTTCGGAAGTGGTCTCCGTGCACTCGAAAGCACGAATGAGGTTGCCTTCACGCCTTCTTAAGTATACTCAATCTCGCACACAACTTCCTGTGGTTTCGTGTCCAGCTACGTCGTTTTGAGAACAAAGCCATTTCTTTCTGGGCAAACTCATTTCCAGAGTCCATTCATCTAAGCAATGATTAAAGAAATCAAAAGTCAGAAGTGTTCTACATGGGATGTAATGACCAGAGCGTTGCTAAAGCCTGATACCGAAAATGAGAGGTCGTTTCTAGTGTCAAGTAATACATTTGAATGCTAGCCCAATCATTCATATTGTACTACTTCTGCTCCCACGTCTAGTTCTACAAGAATGCGTCTTCGAGGAGACGTCTTGCCAAGAGCTACTACAGCAGAAACGAGCCTTAACGATACCTTTGTAGAGGTATCCACATCAGTAAGAGTTATGGGAATTCTTTAATTCCAAAAAGGCCTGCTTGCTCAAATATTGGCATTCTGTGCTGATCTTTCGGAGATTTACCTTCCAGAGGGAAATCAACTCTCATAGCCTTCATATTATTTTATTGATATTCCACTCGCCATTTGGTCCCACTAACACCTGACCAGAAGCATCGTTATTCGAGGCCGGGAGAATAAGGCATTGAAAAGTAAGAAGTGAGTTCAACTACTTGCACATGAGGGCAATAACAAAATTACAAGGGTCACCATGGATTGCTTAGATCGCTCTTGCCGAGAGCCCTGGAGTCCTTGAGTTCACTATGAAATCAGTGATCGTTCGGTGTGAGACAAACGTGAATCTCGAAAAGGGAATCGGAGCAGGTTGGCGGATGCGCTCTTTTTGAGTGTAATAAGTGCACAGCGTAAACGCATCTAGGCAGCCCTCCTCAATCTCATAGAACACACGACAGGCATGCTAGAGAGTGAATGGGTTGAGCTTTTTGCTGTGGATCACAGCAGCATCTCACAATACGAGAGCGGGCTTGAGCTCTGCCAATAGAGTGTTTTCCCTGCCCTTTTACTTATTAGATGCTGTGTATTATAGAATATTGTATCTGAATGAGGTCAGCAGACAGGTGGAAAACTGGGACTGCCAATGTCTGTTCACTGAAATTAGGGGCAACATCGTCTCAGAATCGACAATTGCGTTACGAACTCGCGCCAATCTAACGTTGGTCTTTATGCAACCTAGGCGGAAGATGGAAGCGTGACTAGTGACATGGGATCATCGAGGGGGACATCTGCAATGTCTATACATTTCTTTTATTACAAACTCACCGGCAGCCCCTCTTCACTTCTTCTCCACAAAACTTGTGAGCGTTCCGTTTACCAACTATGCTACATTCCTACTCCTGCCTTAGTTGCTCCAATCAAGGGTGAGGAGTTCCCATCGGATTACTTCTACTGTTCCTGCTTTTCAGAATGGCTGACATTAAGAAAGCTTGCGTGGCCTCCCTGGCAACAGTGCCCCTTGGAAGAACACCCAAGGAGGCCCAAAACGGCAAGGACTTCTACAAGTAGTGAGTAAAGTTTAAACAGTGATCTATCAGTCTTATTCAAAAACTATATGCTGTTTCTCCAGCTTGTTCACCAATCATCAGGATCTTCGCAAGTACTTCAAGGGAGCTGAGAGCTTCTCTGCTGACGACGTTCAAAAGAGTGACAGGTATACTTTCATGGATTGGCTTGCGAATGAGGGGAAAGTAGTCTCCCACTTTCAGATTTGAAAAACTCGGAACCGGATTGCTGTTGTCCGTGCACATTCTAGCGAACACGATCGACAACGTAAGGCTTCTTCTTTCAGCATTTGACAAAATTTCACACAAATTTTGCACTATTGCAGGAAATGGTGTTCCGCGGCTTCTGTCGCGATACAATTGACAGGCATGTTGGCAGAGGCCTCGACCCCTCTTTGTGGAAGGTTTGCTTTTAAATTGCTGATAGGAGTTTTGAGTCACCGCAAATAAGAAGTCAAAACAATTCGAAAGCCATTTGTGGTCCTTCTCTCATTCGTAAAAAGCAGATTTATATTTGCAACTCTTTCTTGAGAATCATGGTTGATGTATTAGGTGAAAAACTCATCTACGGAAACTCAGTACCATCATTCAGGCGTTCTGGGGTATCTGGTGCGCATTCCTAGAAAGCCGTGGACAAAGCGTGGACAAGGGAGCATGGGAGAAGCTTGGAACTATGTTCAACGATGAGTGCCAGCAGCAACTCGCCAAGCACGGACTTCCTCACACGTAAAACGGATGGCTACTCCTACATATTGCGTTCTTTCACAAAATCTGGTTCACAAACATGGCTTTTGTATCACATTGCACTGCTAATAAACAACTAGCATAGAGGTTATGTGTGTGCACCAAGAAGACTCAATATTAGAAATCCTCAATACTAAGAAAGACAGGTTGATGATCTTTAACAAAAGGCCATTCGCGCGGCTAGGTATACAAGTAGCACTGCTTCTTTACGGAATTGTAGCCGCTAAGTGGTTTTTCAGGAGAAAAAACAAAATATGTTCCATTGCATGAGGTGTCCGGACTTGCTGGCGAATCGAAACCTTGCTACCTCTGGGCGCCATACAACACTAGAACAAAACAAACAAACACACAAAAAAAGCTTGTAACAGAAAATAGGAAACTGCGCATACAAACTACAATTATTACTAGGTTGTCCGGAAAGTTCTTAAAGCGTGTTTGTGACCTAATTCTTCTTGTACATTAGCGTGCTAATTAACTCATTCTGCTTGCTCTGCAGTACACATCCTGTAGAGTAATTTTCTTGTGCTATTGTGGTAATTGCCGTTTCACCATTGCTTGATAAACCCTCTTTTTTCAAGATTTTTTCAAGCATGTGAAAAGAGCACTTCGGACGATTTTTTCTTCGGCTATAAATTGGGGCAATCCGCAGATCGTATAACAGGCTCATAACAATTAATGCGCAGTGTTGGAGGCCAAATATATGACTAGATTGATAAGCACTGTGCCGTTCAATTGGTCAACAATAGTCGTTCTTGGATAATTTCAGGTCCTTGAATTGTTGAGCCTCATAGCGGTCGCGTGGCTAATAGCTCATATCTGTACGAGGATTTAGTGGGTATTTCAATACAGACATTGACTCCATCCAGAACAGTCGATGAGTATAGCGGAATGAGATTAAGTCCTTGTGCATAATTCATGTTGGGCTATTTGGGATGGTGTGGAACGCATTGGGAAGGTGAAAAAACTCGACAATTGGGTGCCCCACAATCGGAGTGACCGGCAGGAATCGGCACGTCTCGAGGTTCCTTCTTCACTGCTTTTGCGCAAAAGAATTGACCCGTTTTTGAACGGATTTGTCACCTGTGATGAAAAATGGATCATGTATGATAACAGGAGACGTTCCGGACAGTGGTTGGATTTGGAGGAACCACCGAGGTAATTTTCAAAGCCGAACCCTCGCGAAAAAAATTCGGTCAGCGTATGGTGGTCATCGGCTGTTGTAATCCACTATAACTTTTCATCACCAGGCCAAACCATCACAGCAGAACCCTACTGTGAACAAACCGACCAAATGTACCGAAAATATTGTCAGCTGCAGCCAACTATTCATAGAAGGGTCCTGATTCTTTTGCATGACAACGCCCGCCCACACGTTTCACAAATCACTATCCATAAATTGAACGAATTGGGAGTTGAAGTTCTACCTCACCCACCATATTCTCTAGACCTTTCACCAACCCGACTGTCACCTTTTCAGACATTTTCAGAACTTTCCTGCTGAGAAATACTTCATCAAACAGGACCAGGCAAAAAAGACCTTCGCAGATTTCGTGGATTCTCGACCACCCAGTTTTTTCTTTGATGGGATTTCTCGACTGCTGCCACATTGGCAAAAGTGTGCTGATTCGAATGGTGCTTATTTGGATTAAATCCGATGAGTGTTAAGAAAGTTATGATCGTTTAAAGTTAAACACCCAAAACGCTAAGAACTTTCCGGACAACCTAATACTTACGACAAGCAAATCACGGCGGACATTTGCATTAATTCTGCGAATTTGGAGACAGTCCCCACGCTCAGTCAAGAAGCCATCAGTCATAGTTCAAGTAGTCTGATCTGCAGATTTCCTACACTTTCTTCTCTCGTACGTTTTCACAGTTATACGAACACTTTCTCACTTTCGCGACTTCACAGTAGGTAATGAAGGGGCTACGGCCCTCAAAAAAGGAGGTTCTGGCACCTAACTGGTTCTCCTGTCCCCAAGAGCACTCACCACGGATCCAGTTTTAGACCGTGTTTCTCGTTTTTGTTTTTATTTCGATTTTATTCTCATGCGCCACCTGTTCAGATAGGCTTGAGTAGCATAAATATCCATAAACTCTATGGAAAGTGATAACAGAAACAGAAAATGGATGTATACATTCGAACAGCTTTGACAGCTTCCGCTTCTTTGGGAAGGCAGCGAAGTCCTCAAAGAAACACGTTCCTTTACTCAAGATTGCTAGTGTAAATGGATGTAAATGGATATTAGACTTGATTCTCGAAGTGGGTATTCAACCAGAATATCAAGTGAAGTGAAAGTTAGAGCTCGATATTGATTGGAGGTCATTTTGCAGGACTGCTGTAGAACTACGTTGTCTGCAACATCCATAGGCATGACAGTGGGAAAGGAAACGAGTAGATCATCTTTCAGGAGACAACATTTGGGACGCGAAAATATTGTAATCGCAAAGTGCTGAAAGCCTTGCAAAAACACTGGTGATTTGCTCGAATCCAAAATTTGTCAGTATATTATCAGTAGAAAGAAGAAGTGTATCGTTTCGTTTTACTGCGAGAGTGGTTTTCACAGTGATTTTCAAATTATAAAAACTCCGTTTAAAGCGGAAGCTGAAGCCGCAAACTCTGTGCACACTCCCCCCGGCAAAGCAAAGCTAGCCGAAGTGACCTCCCGTTTAAAACCCATTTTAGGGAGAACAATGAACATGCGCAAAAAGATCTCACCGTTCTACAAGGAGATCATCACTGACGTGAACATAGGGGTCCGGCAGGGCGGCACCATCTCGCATCAACTAATGGAAAACATGGAGGCGTCCTCGAGTCGGGCTGCTGGGAAAAAATGTTCCTCAAGCTGAACTTTAAAGGCAGCGCCCGCGTTCATTTGTTGTTCTCACGCCCTCTCTGGATCTAGTAGCTCCCCCTATGAGGATGGTGGACGTGCATGTTCCGCAACCCAAAAATGCGACGGAACAGCGGCGTCCGCCCGCAAAAAGAGCGACGGCTCCAGCCCCACCTGCCCTACCACGCCACCCAACTTCATTTCTAATGGTTGCCTGATGGTGCGGTTGTTCCATTGCTGCTTCTCTCCACGTGGAGTGGTGAGAGTGAGGTGATAATAAAACAGCTCGATAATGCATACAGTGAAGAAAACTCAGGCAATCACTCCTTCTCTTCGCCTTAAGCACGTACAACCGTTGTTCAGTATGAAACTCCTTCTAGGGCTTTTGCGTGTTTTCTCTTAGATTTTTCTTCACTAATAGGCTTCTTGCTACCTCGCTGTTACTACCTGAGCCGCATACTCATTAAATTTGAACGCGGGCGCTGCCTTTAACGAAGATGATGTTATGAGGAACGGATGCTCTATACGGAACGACCATCCCTGAATGCTATAGCTAGCTATGTGTACCTTTTTCGCGAAATCGATATGATGAACAACTTTGCACCAGTGCTGCACGAGGAAACAAGCGGCTTAGGGAGCTTCAAGAACATCGAGGGAGTAGCGAAGAAGGACATAGAACACCAGTCCAGGTTTCTTTCTTCGATTCCGCGGTCCTTCCCGCTTTGACTTATGCCTCAGAGATGAACTATACGAAGCAGGATGAGCATGCGGTTGGCGTTATTCAACGCGCCATCGAAAGGGCGATGCTCGGAGTTTCCCGCTACACGCAAGTGAGAGAGGGAATCCGGAGCTCCGCACTCCGCCGACGATCGAAGATCAGAGACGCCGCCGCATTTGCCAAGGTTTCGAAGATCAGGTGGGCCGGGCACGTCATGCGTTTCGAGGACGACCGCTGGACCAGAGCGATCACCGACTGGATTCCACGGGATGTCAAGCGAACGCCTGGACGACCGCCTATGCGATGGTCAGACTTCTTCGTGAAAGCTCTGAACGAATGGTATGAAGTCATCGTGGGCAACACTTGCGCGTTGGGGACGAATGGAGACGTTACTGCGTTACTGGCGCCCGCTCGAGGACATCGATGATCAACGGGAGCACAGGTGATACGGGTGATGACCTGCCTAATTCCTTTCAGGCATAAGGAGCTCCGTGCTTTCGCCGACTATCTAGAACTTGCCTGCCTTTCAATGCTTCTCAAAATGCAACGTACCACAGAATGGATCGATGTCGTATTTGATACTAGCAGTGAGTGTCGCGTTATGAAGTCCTATTGCGTGAAATCGGGGTGACGCGCTTACTAGGGATGGACCCCAGGTCAAAGTGGCCATTTTCAATGAGACAACTCCTAAGAAAAAGACCTTTTGGAGGCTGACTTCATACAAACTTCAGAATTTGCAGTTCTCTTATAGAGCTCAGAGCTAAGTTGATTCTTATTGAAGTCGTTCTCTGTTGCTTGAACTGCTCTTTGCTTCACTTATATTCCACTTAGCATCAAGTAATTCCTAACCCTTCAAACTGCAAACTGCGATCGTCAGAGCAGCGTCAATTGCAGACGATGCGGGCGAATGTTCCCATCTGGTAAATTATGCGCTTTAGATTGCGCAATTCTGGCAGCAGCTTTTCACAATTCCCTTCTTTAAACGTTCAGGCTTCACGTCCGCTTCATTGTAGTCTTCGCTTTAGAAGTCAGTGATCACAATATATCAACCAGGCTTTTAAGGGAGACAGGCCCACCTAGTAGCGCCGCGCCAGTTCCGATTTCCAACGAAGTCAGTATTGAAATCGCGTCAACAAAGCCCACATGCTGACCGCAACTCCGCCGGAACCCGCCCGAGCATCAAATAGCCGCCCCATTAGCAAGTGATCAGGATCGGATCGGGTGTTTTCACCAATCTGCTGCTAATCTGTGTTTTTCACTTCTTCAGGGATTCTTGTTGAGAAGTATTTTGTTATTGGTTCAAGAATTGCATTGATGCATTGCGTTTGCTTTTCTGCTTTTTCTTTATTCTTGCGAACGATTTTTGATATTTTCTAGAGGTAGAGGTATTGCCTGCTGTAGGTTGGTTGTTTAATCTTGCGATTGCCTCACAAA